TCATTCTCGGTTGAAAGACGGAGATAAGGTCTGAGCATTGTAAGGAGGTGAGATTCGCCGTGAAGATTCGAGCTCCCGGATTGTCGACATCCGGACGTAAACCTTGATAAGCTTTCAAGCCTTGATGAAGTATTTTCGCGGTCGCTCAAGAAAAAACACGAGGCGGCGGCGGGATCGACTCACATCTCTTACATCTTTAGCTTTGCGCTTCTACAGGTCCTGCTTTTTATCGCGCCTTTTCTAAAAGCTTTTTTCCCTCTTAGGTTTTTTCCTGGAGAAATTTAGAATTTCAATAAGTTTGGCAACTTTCGTAAAAAACCTGAGTCAGGGTCTAAGCGATCTAAAATGAAAAGCCGCGTAGCGGCTTTTTTAAAATCGAAGCCGCAAAGCGGCTTCGCCAGATTCTTTCAAGAAATAAGAAAATCAATCTGTCAAAGCCGCTTCGCGGCTTCGTTTTTAAAAAAGCCGCTACGCGGCTTTTCATTTTATGCCTTTCGAACCTTAAGTCAGGCATTCTACACAGGTTGGGAATTTTAATGGAGGATGATGTCACTCTTTCTAGAAATTTATGAAAAAAGAGAGTTATGAAAATTTATCATCAACGCGTCTCGCCCGAAAATTGACGCGAAGAAATGTTGCCCCCTGCCGAAAATAAGCAGGATAAGAACATATCTCCGCCGACCAGTAACAGCGCGGAAGATAACAGGCAGACCGCACACATTGTTTCACGTGTTCGGTAGATCTCGCTCTGTGAAATCATTCTTAGCTTAATCGGGGTAACACGGATTCGTACTATCTTAATTGTATTCAAAATATCCGAGCAAATTGCAGATACTTTGCAAGAGATCCAGCGAGAGTCTTCAGTGAAGACTCTTCACCATCTTCAAAAGTTTAAGCGAAAAATATTTTTGAATCCTCTTTATCTTCATTTTTGTGGCTTATCCGCGGCTGAGCTTGATCCAAATCTCAGGCTCAATGCACCCTTGATTACATTTTGAAAGGTATGTTTACTCAGAACTCACACCGAGATTTGGCTTGATAAATCGGCTTTATATTTCGCATGTTATCATCTTTTATATATTAGAATCAGTCCTGAAAATTTCAGACTGATTCATCGAGGAAATGGAATAATGATTTGATTTCAAATTATCCACCCCTGCCAGCAGCTGTCTCTGCAGGGGTTAACACCGGTGGCGTGGTCCCTTGTATGTATTGACTCTGAAAATGATTATCGATTCTGGACTGGTTGAAAAACATGGTGATTTAATTTTTACAAAAATTTTATGGTTTTTAAATTTTTGTCTCAAAGAAGATTTTTATCAAATCTTCTGCAAACATCTCCGTTAAGAAAATCGTGAAAAATCTTTGTTACAAAGGCTTGCAGAAAACCTGAGTCAGGCTTTTTTTTTAAAAAAGCCGCTGTTTTGCGGGCTTTTTATTTATTTCATTTTTTGTCTCAAAACCTGAAAACTGAAAACAAAAAATAAACTCGTTTTTGAAAAAAAAAACGTGAAAATATTCCCCCGGAAAGAAAACATTGTTTTCGCTCGTTGCAGGAAAAAGAACTCATGTCTCGAATTTCAAAATGTCGATTTTTAATGTTCGGACGTGGCGAAAAAAGCTCGCCCGCCAAAAATCTATGTTGTTCCTGAGAACATCGAATTAACACATCAACCGTAATTGCCGCCTCTCTCGATGCTTGTTCATGTTTCCACCGCGGCTTCAGTTACAATATTTTCGAGACGAAAAAAAATTTTCCGCTGAATTTTTTTTTCTCGGCACAAAATTCAGCACTTGCTTGAAAAAGAACTGGAACTTGGCTCCTCGAATCGTTCCCGCCAATGATTTTTGTCTCAAAAATTTCATCGCCAACGACTTTGATTGTTTCCAGAGGGTTTGAATTTTCTTATCAAGAGAGATAAGAAAAAAAGCCTGAAAAGCCAATCGAAATTGCCGCGGTCGACGATCTTTGCTGATATCAAGGAAGAGAAACATACAATACATGATATAGGGTGAAGATTTTTCAATCAGTGTCAGCTGCTAATATGATATAAGCGGCATTAATAAAGATAATGGGTTCATTAAGCGATAAATTGGACACAAAAGGTCATTAAGATTGAAAAACTTAGTCGACTTTTTAGCGTATCCTTAAATATTGAGTTCATCATATGGTTAAATCATGCAAGATTAAAAAACATTATTAAAATAGCAAAAAACGCCTTACGATATTCACTCCGAGTCGTCTTCTTTATTTTTGATTAACCATTCTGACCATCAAGGATGCTTCCAACTGCCTAATGTTCAGATTGAATAAACAGTTTGATATAATCGCTTCATATAAATGTGCCAGCCATTAATAATGGCCCATTATGGGATTTATTCATTTTCTTCTGTTTGGAATTGAGTTAGACTATTGAGCCATGAATTTTTCAAAAATTTGAGCTTGAAATCGATAGAAGCGATCGGAAAAGATGCCATATAAATTGGTTTGAAGTACGGTAATCAATTAAAAAGAAAATGCTGGACGGTTCAAGGTCCATTCATTACTAAAAGGGGGCGATTTAATTAATTCCGCGCAAATGGATCATCCATCCACGGCTCCGATCCCGATCATCTGGACTGCCACCGCTCGAATTCGCCCTATTTAAGCAAGATGGGCACCACATCTCCGTCAAAATACAATTTTTGAGATATAAAATACCAATAGAATGGTAAGTTTCAATTTAAAAAAACTTCGAAAACCGATTTCTATTTCAGAAATTTGAGCTTTTCGCCCTTTTCGCGGCTGTTTTTGGCTTTGATTTGAGCAAATTTAATTCCAATATGGCGCGCCTCAAAGGTAAATCGCTAATTTTCGATTTTCATAAAAAATTTTTCATCTTTTTTTTTCAGATTTCAACTCGAAGCACCCGTCTCTCCATCGACTCCAATTTGGTGACGAGGATGAACGAGAAGCCGAGGCGCTTTTCGATTTTTCTCTCAATCATTCTTTATGATTTTTTAAATCATCAATCCGAAATTACGAATAAACTACAGTCTCGTTTGAACACTTTTTTTTACATGACAGTTCGAATTTGCTTGCAAGAAAAGCAGCTAAAAGGGTAGCACTTCCAAACAGTAACGACTGTACTTCTTTCTTTCTCCGATTCTTTCGATTCTTTCGACGCTTTCGTGAAAACTTCTTCTTCAAAACCCGGGCTCAAAAGATTGATAATTGACTCGTCGACCCAAGAATCTGAAAAAGATGAAAAAGGATCGGAATAAAGGGTCTACCATCGATTCGTCTGGGTTTAGGAGTTCGTCTGAATGCTTCGAGCATTTCATCAGGGGTGTCTTTTTTTCTTGCGCGCATCGCATTTTGCGCTAATCTAGGGCTCGACAATCTCTATATTTTTTTCAGCGGGTACCTACCTATATTTTTAACATTTAAACGAAAGAAAATAAAAAATAATCAAGCAATGAGTCATTGCCAATGTCCCTTTGAACTCTATTTTATCTTTTTGTGAACCCGAATATATAAGAATTTGAACTCCTCGCATCTCAAAAAATCTGATATCTCTCCTCTTTTAAACTTCTTATCTGGAAGCCATAATTTCCGAAAGTCAGTTGGACTAAGCAAGTGATTGAAAAAGATCACACCGGAAAATAAATCTGCCTCTTTTCCTTCTACTCTGGTGATTATAGCTTGTCATAACCGGTATTTATTCAATCATCATTCGAAAAACTGACAATGAATAAAATAAATCATGAATCAAATTCAAGCCCAATTTCCTATAATATGGACAGTTTTCATAAATTTCTCTTTTTTGAAAAACAGTGTGGGACCATGATTTTCCCTCTTGTCAGTTTTTTTTTGTAATTATTTTCCAATTATCTGATTTTAGAGCCCTAAGTTATCAAATTTGTCATCATCATCCGCGGCATTTTTCACAAGTTTGCTATTTTTTCTCACTTCAAGTCAAAAAATTCCAGATAATTTATCTTCTGCGACGTAAAATAACGCCTTCCGTTATACGACATTGTTGGACTCTTGAGAGAAAAAAAGACATAACTCAGCATTATGAAGATTTAATTGCCTAAACCGTTAGTTTTATCACATGCTCATTTCAAGGTCACTTTCTCAGAGTCGCGTTTATCTACCTGATTTACAGTCGTAACGCACAATTCCGGAACGCACAATTCCGGACATTTAGGGAAAACGGAAAAAATTAAATAACGCACAATTCCGGACAATTCGACAAAAAATTTTAACTGAAATTTATATCGTATAAGTTGACCAAGATTGAATGTTTCTCTTTGGATTTTATTGTGACATGTTTCGATCTTTGTTAGATCATTTTCAAACTAAAGAACAGCTACAGTAAGTCACAAATAGTAGGAGAAAAGAATACCCTTGAGTTGTTATGAATTTACGAAAACCTGCTCATTTCAAGGTCACTTTCTCAGAGTCGCGTTTATCTACCTGATTTATTAAGGATCTCAACGCCGACCTCGATTTTTCAAGCAGCGATTTCGCCCCCTTGCCCCTTAACTTTCCATCTAATATTGGTATCAAAATGTAGCTCAGATAAGGGTCTAGGGCAACAAAATACTAACTTTGGTATACCCTTAAGTTTTTACCTCAAAATTTACGGCTGTTTTAAGGGTGTTTAAGGGTTAAAAAGGAAGCGAAAATTTGAAAAATTCAAAAAATTAATGTTCGGTTTTTGAAAAAATTGACGGGGTTCCCTTAAAATTAGTTTTCTTATAAGAAACTAATCTAGAATGAATTCCTGGAAAAAAAGAATCACCTTGGCCCCCTTTTTTGGCCGGAACTAAAGAAATTGCATCACAAAACTTTCCGTGAAAAAGTCTATTTGATCAAAAAGTAGCGAGGTACGTTTGCTCTCGCTCCTCATTTTAATATTTACGCTCCGGAAGTCGGAGCCAAAAGCAGATTTTTCACATTCCAAAAAGAGAGAGAGAAGTGGGTTCCAGTCACGTGACCTAGCGCTTCTAAGATGGCTTTTGCCTCGAACCTTGGTAAGAAAAAAGAGAGCTTTTTTTGGTTGATTTGGACTCGGTAAAAGAAAACTTTGACCCTGGCATTTCGGCGGTCATAGAATTTCACTGTTAGTTTTTACAAGCTGTCTAATTCCAAACGGCTTGAGAATATTTGTAAAGGAATAAAAACGGATCTGAGATCAACTTGGGGCTTGGACAGCGATTTTCGTTAGCAATATTTAGGGCTTCTTTTGGGGGAGGTTTCTAGAACCGTAAAAAAAATTTCGACCAATCAGAAGCCTGGATTCGACAAACTGGTCAATCAGCAGCCGAGTAGCTACCCACCCAAAGTTGGTCGAAATTTTTTCGTTGATTCAAGATACCATCCCTTCTTTCGGCCCAAAAATTTTTTGGACCCCAAATTTGGGGATCGATTTGTGGGGTTTTGACTTGTGCCTTGCGGGGTTCTTTCGTTTTCACAGGAATTTCCGTGTCCTTTATTATTTGCTTTTGTCGGGCGCAAACATTGTCTATCAGTAACCACTACCAGTAGTACTCGCCCACTCCTGAACACCGCGATTTGACTCCTGTCCTTGATTTTTCTTCCTAACTCCTTCCTTTAGTAAATGACGTGACAAACGTCAAAGGCGGCCGTAAGGAATGGCCGAATCAGTTCCAGTTCATGTGCGCAAATATCGCCTTTGCCGTTGGACTTGGCAACATTTGGCGATTTCCGTATTTGGCGCAAACGAATGGCGGGGGACTTTTCTCATTCCCTACTTTATCTCGCTCTTTATCATCGGCTTCCCGATTTTGGTGCTGGAACTGTCGCTTGGTCAGCGATTGCGATGTGGAGCTAGTGGGGCGTACACGAAATTTCATCCGGGATTTCTCGGAGTTGGACTGGCTATGGTGGCGGTTTCGGCATTCGTGGCGCTGTATTATAATGTCATCGTGGCTTGGGCGTTTTATTACTTCTTGAGTTCGTTTCAGGTAAATCCGATGAGCGATCTTTTTGGAAAGAAAAATGTGGAGGCGTCAGGAACCGACAAAAAATCGACAAATTTTGCGTGGGCGGGTACTTGGCCGCTGATTGGCCGGTTCGCCAAAGCCAGGCTTCTGATTGGTTGGAAATTTCCACGGAAAATTAGTCGAAATTTTTGTCGGTTCCAGAAAAATTTGTCTAATAAAAAAAATAGAACCCGCTGCCCTGGAAAGCATGCCCCGTCGTCAACACCACTGTTTCCTGCGACGGCGGAAAAGACAGCGGCCTCGGAGTCTGCGTCACCGCTGCCGCCTCTGCCATCGCCGATGCTGTCCCCCGCGCGCCCTGGGATCAGACCTGGTCGAATATTCCCTGGCCCGTTGAAGAATGCACTCTTGCTGGAACACAAGTTTACTACTGGTACAGAGACACGCTCAACGTCACGGCTGATTACGTCCCGATGGAGGGTTGAATAGCGATATGGTTTTGGTGCTCTTGCTCGGCTGGGTCATTGTTTTTATGATTTCCATGAATGGAGCTGAAGCGGGAGGAGCGTTTTTGTATTTCATCGCGATCACGCCTTATGTGGTTTTGTTGATCTTTTTGGGGATCGGGTTAAGCACTGCTGGCGGACCAGAAGGAATCGCGGAGTTGTTTCAAGCCGACTGGGAAGCGCTCAAGGTACACTTTCGACTCATAATTTACTTGAAGAATTTAAGCGACGGTGCTGAAAATGTCACGAATGGCACTAATCTGACGAATGTCACGAAAACATGTTCACTTTTCGTGACATTTCCAGTAAATCGTGACATTCGTGACATTCGTGAAATTTTCAGTACTGACCAACGAATGTCACGAATGTCACGAATGTCACGAACGTCACGAGAACATGTATCTTTTTCGTGACATTTCCAGCAAATCGTGACATTCGTGAAATTTTCATTTCTGACCAATTTTAGGATGCGAGAGTGTGGATCGATGCATCGAGTCAAATCTTTTTCTCCTTGTCCGTCTGTTTTGGTGGAATCGTCGCGTTTTCAAGCTACAACCCAATCAAACAGAATCTCCTTCGTGATGCTACGATCGTCGCTTCTGTCAACAGGTGATCTCGAAGAAGAAAAATAGGGTGAATCTTTTCTTTCAGTGGAACTTCGTTGTTTGCAAGTTGTGTCATTTTCTCGCTTCTTGGAAATCGAGCTTGGACAGCATTTGAAAACTGCAAGGTAAGAATAAGCCAAATTTCGATCGAATTTAAAAATGATGAAAAAGAGTACAACGATCGACAACTCTCTCAATTTCTTCGACGAAGCCGAGGACTTTTACGGCGATAAAACTTATGATGAAATCTATGACTTTGTCCTTAACAAGTGTGAGAGCGAAAACTGCGATCCTGTTGATGTTTTCCAGCGGCAATCAAAATGCGATTTTTCAAAGGTTTTTCGACTGCTTTTTTCTTTGTCGACGATTTTTTCTAGATTCTTCAAGAAGATACTCCTTCTGGAACCGGTCTCATCTTCATCGCCGTCGCTGAAGCTGTCGTTGACCTTCCCGGCTCGTTCATTCTTTCGATGATTTTCTTCTTTATGGTTATTTTACTCGGCCTCGGATCCATGGTCGGAACATTTGAGGGCGTCATAACTCCAGTTTACGACGGTCTTCAAGCCAGTAGTAAATGGCGAAAAATTCCGAAACAAGGTCAGTAGCATTTGAAAAAAATCAAACGTCAGGGAAATTCTAGCGCTGGTGCTGGTAATGTCATGTTTTGCATTTGCCATTGGGTTGATTTTCGCGACGAATGCTGGTAACTACTGGTTGGATATTTTCAATGATTATTCGGCTTCGATCAATTTGCTGATTATTGGCGTTTTGCAATTTGTAGTCGTTGCATGGGTAAGAAATCACAGATTTTAGATGATTTTTCGTGAAAAAATTTGGGTGAGATTCGCGTAGGCGATCTTTTCGGCTTCTGATTGGCTCAAAATATGTCCCAACATTTTGAGCCAGAAAATATGTCCCCATATTTTGAGCCAATCAGAAGGCAAAAAAGCCGCCCACGCGAATTTTACCCTTATTTTTTGTGAAATTTTCTCACAAAATAATTAAGATTTATGGCGCTGAGAAATGGCTCTCTGAAATTGACTGGATGATTTACGGAGAAGATGGAGAACAACCTGGACTTGTTGTCAGAATTTGCAGACTCTTTTTGAAAACATGCTGGACTGTCCTCTCTCCTGGATTGATTCTTTTCGTTTTGATCTTCTTCATGGTTGATATTTTCCAAAACCCGCCGGCCTACAAAGTTTGGGACAAGACAACAGGTTTGAGAAATCGAAAATCTTGATGAGTCATCTATGTTTTCAGGGGACTGGAAGCTCGAAAATGCAACGAACCCAGACAGTGATTATTTGAAGCAAGAGTACAGCGCTGCCGGATCAGCAGTTATCGCCATTCTTCATATTCTTTGCTTGATTTGGATTCCTGTCATGCTAATCAAGGTAAGAAAACAGAGCTCTAGAAGATTCAAGCAACGATTTCAGGCATTGTTCAAAGATGGAAAATTCTCGTTCAAAAACTGGAGGACCGAAGAAGCGATCATCTACCGAGGAGAGCAGAAAATCGCGAAAAGAATGTTCAGAAATTCATAAAAATGAATAGTAATAAATATAATTAATAAATAAAAAGAAACAATCAAATCATTTTATTGAGCTAAAGACGCCCACCTGAAAAAAGGAGGAAAAAATTTTTAGCAGCGGGGAAAAATAATTTCGACTAATCAGGATTCAGGAAAAAGCTCGTCTAGCATTTGCCACAGGATTTTTTGCATGACTTAAGCATGAAAGCAGAGTTTCTAGAGCACTCGCCATCAGCCGCCAATGATGCGCAGTATGTGTACTCATCGGTGCACTGAACAAACGATTACAGAACATATTTCGCACTGTAGGTTCTTACCGATTCGCCGTTAGATGCGCAAAAGCCACAAGTCTTGGCGCAATAATGCTCCATGGAAGTTCGACTGTAGGAGGTACAGAATCCATACGATTTCCAACTTGCGCACTGGCTTTCGTAGCCGCTCAGGTCGGCACAGATGGTTGGAGTGCTCGTTGACGCTCCGCAGTCTCCAGTTTTTCTTCCGGAAATGCGATCAGCGATATTTGTTCTTTTCACATTCGTGTTGGTTTTCAAGAAGCAGTGGTTGGGTTGAAACACATGCCATTCGTAAAAGGTATAACCAGCGCAGCCAGGTGAGGAGCGACAGCTTTCCTCGCATTCTCTTTGGCCAGTTTCACCGGGCGAAACTTGGAAGGAAGCGACGTCATTCCCTTAATTTTATTTAATTCAAAGTTTTCAGAAAATATTGAAACTTTCTTTCGATATATTTTGTAGACACCTAAGTACTCGACATTTTCCTCGATCTCAAAGTCACGGCATTCTTTTGTGGTCGTTGTCGGCCTCGTCGTTGATTTCGTTGTTGGAGTAGTGGTTGAAGACGGGCAGTTCTTATTTCTATACCCGGAAATGCGTCCAGAGGTGAGTAACATACTGTAGCTCATAGAGGATTTCAAAAAACAGCGATACGAATCGGATGGATTTCTGTTTTCACCGTAAAGAGTGAAACCACCGCAGTCGGGGTTTGAGCGACAACTTTGCTCACATTCCCTTTGACCTGCTTCGCCAGGCGAAACTTGGAAGGAAGTGATGTCATTCCCTTTAAAAATATCATTCGTGAGAAAGTTTTTCAATAAGGTTGAAGATACCCCTGTGCTCGATGTTCTCAGCAATATCGAAGTCACGACATTCTTTCGTCGCCGTTGTCGCCGTCGTCGTTGTTGATTTCGTCGTTGGAGTCGGAGTTGAGGTTTCCTCGCAGCCGTAAAGCGCGTTTATCTGGAAAAAATCCGACTCGGTCAATTTCGTATTCCGTTTTGTCGGCTTTCCAGTACTCCTGTCGAGAAGAGTTGGCTTCCAGTTTCGAGTGAAGGAGTAGCCACTGTATTGCATTACTGAGTTGACATCATAGGGCTGCCCATATGAATTCCACTTCGAAGGGTGGATTGTTTTGAAGTTGTGGCGCATTTCTGGTTCGACGTTATCTTCTATGTACTGGACATATGAGTCGCGGTCGGGGCGCATTTGCTCGTGATGAAAGCCCAAGGCATGCATGATCTCATGAGCAGCTGTGGAAGCATAATGGCAGCCTACACCAAGCGAGATCTCCTGCGCACCACCTTAACTCATCAATAATTGGATTTAATGAAGATTTTACCGAGTTTTCCGATCCAAGAATAGCATCCGTCGCCGATAAAAAAGTCCATAAAGTCCCTCTCATCGCTTCGTTCTCTGAAACGGAGGCAGCTCCCGTCTTCGAGTATTTTCATTCCTGCAAGAGCCGCTCTTTGCCCCAAGGGATTGAGCCTGGAAATTCTGTACGGGATGTACACAAACCCACCTTCCCGATAATCGGTCCATCTCGGAACGGATATGTCCGCGGCTCTCATGACATTTGGATCACGAGGAGTGTCATCAGGCGGTGTCATCATGTTTTGCACGAAGCCGTCGACCATGATGTCTCCAAAATGCACCTTTCCTTGCGGCTCCGTGTCGCAAATGCATGAGTCGATGACGCAGCCAGTGGAGTCCCTTTTGTGCCCAAAGAGGCAATCGTCAACTGGGCATTCCGAGGATTTAAACGAGCAATGCGCTTCCGCCAAAATCTCCTTGCAATAATTGACCATGAACGGGTCTCCTTCATACTCGCTCAAATCATGGCAAGATATTCCGCCTCTAGCACCAAGTGGGTCAGCGCTCGAAAAAGATTGAAAAGCGAAAAATGTACTCCCAAGTTTCATGGCGAATGAAGGGCTTGCTACTTTGCCGGCAGATAAAAATAGAGCCGGGTAAACAGCACACCTCAGTTTACCGTAGTAACGGTACTTGGAATAATTGATGATTGAAGCAAGAAGAAAGTCGTAAGCAAGCAATTTGTTGATGCGTGTTTTCGAGTTCGACTCGGAACAAATAAAAAATAACCAAAAAAATTTTACGAAATGTTTGAGTTTAATTTATTGCAAAGCTTAAAATAATGAACAAAATTATTAGGCCTCGGACGTAAAAATCATCATCACCAGCCGGTCGTCGTACGGTACAAGAGTAGGTTCATTCGAAAGCTCTCGAAAAGACCTTTCTGTTGGGCTTACAAAAATACTGGGCCCTGTCCTCCTTTTTCGAGATATTTGATTTTGAAGGAAAGCTTCGAAAAATATTTTCAAAATAACTCGTAACAGAAAGGGAGAGCCCAGTTATTATAAGTCAATTTATATCAAGAAACGTGGGACTAATTCGATTTAAGTTAGGTTTATTTATATTCTCGGGGCAGAATGAACAGTGGAATTCTCTTCGTTGTTGTCTTCTGCTGCAAGTCGAGTCGGGCGGAAATCTAAATTCTAAATGTTAGTTCTAACGTTGCGTTTCGCACGTAACGTTCTAAATGTACGTGGGCCCGGGTCCTAACTTCTAAACTCACGTTCTCTCGTAATCTCTCGAGAAGTGACTTACCGCGTTGTCCGATTTCGACGACTGAACTTGTCGAAACGCAGCGCGGGATGTTTTCGCGTCTAGGTGTCAGCCTTGCGCTGGCCCTGCGGCCCTACCGCCCGGTCGCTCGCGACCGTGTTGACTAATGGAATCATGGAAGACAAGTCTTCCTTTTACCAGGATGGAATCTCGTCCCCCCTCTTTAGCTTTACTAAGTTGCTTAATTGGCTTGACAATTTTAAGCTGATTCCATTGTATTAATTTCCCAAAATCTTTCATACCTTCTATTTTTTAAACTTCTTGTAGCTGCCACTTGCTTGGCCGTTCTTGCGTTTATTGTTGAAGAACTTCTTATGGTTGGTTACCATAGTTCCTTGCGCCCAAGCTGGTAGCTTCGGGAGTTCTTTCGCTGGCGATTCGGACAAGTCGTAAACCACTAGCCTGTTTGTTGGAGATACGACGACCACGTGTGAGTTTCGGACCTCTGGCAAGCCGAGCAAACTCTTCAAGCGGCCCGCTAGGCAGTCAGCTTCGACCATTTTCACCAAATCATCCAAAGACTTAGTCTTGAGCCTGTCAAGCTTCGACTTCTGCTCCTTGATCTAAAATCGGGAATTAAGATTTTTGAGAATTCGCTATAGTTTAATTTGTCGTTTTAAATTTTAGTTTGCGTCTAAATTAACTTCATAGATGGTTCTTTCTTACATTTCTTTCGTAATTTGTTTCACAGTTTCTTTTATTTTTATCTCTTTTTCTTGTTTAAATAAATTCTGATGGCTTTGTTGATGACTCAAAATGCGCTCGTTGATTGGCTCTCTGTGATTGGCCGCGCTCTAATTACGCGCTTCTTGTCTCGAAATCCTAGCTTTCTCTCGATCTATAATAGCGCTATTTCCTTTCTCTCTTCGTGCAAAATTTTATTTTTCGACTAGAGAAGCAAAAGAGAAAATTAAATTCCTGAATTTCTAGAACGTCACCTGTTTTCGTCCTTGTTTTCGAATAAACGTCAGTTCTGTTTCAACGACTGGCGAACACAGGTAAATTTAATTAATTTTGAATTTTTGATGGGACTCGATTAGGGAATTAAGTTGGCTTTAACGGGCATCTTATAGAATTTACTAATCTAGACGGATTAACAGCTCCTTGTTTTACTTACTAGCTGTCGGATTGACCTTATCGGAGCCACGAGTTCTCGCAAAAGCGGGCCAACTCGAGCATCAAGCAGTAAGTCTTCGTCAATTTGGGGAACTTTGAAGCCTCGTCCACCCAATTCTTTGAAAACGGTCTCGATTTCGCCTTTGAAATGTTCGACCATGTCCTCGATAGAGTAATTCTTGTAGCGCTTTTCCATGAATTCGCTACAGTCTCGGAAGGCGCGGTGAGTGAAAGTCAGGGACATGCGGATGGGACTAGCTGACTGTACTACGCAGTTTCTGGTCCAGCTGACTTCGACTCGCCATCGTTCGCAGCAAGCGCCTTGCGGGACTTCCAGCATAATGCTAATTAGCTCGTTGCTAGCCATTGCCAGAGCCAATTCCCGGATAAAGCAGAGGCTTCCAGGTCGATACTAAACAAAAATGTTCTAGAAATGAATTTGGCTGCTCACGAGCTTCCCGAGGATGATGGTCCGCCCTTCCCAGCCAACTACAAAATCCGGCAACAACTCGACTATTACCAGCGCTTGGTCGACAGGTAATTTAAATCTCTTACCGGGTCTTGTTCGCTTGCAATCGAATTTGAGATTAGCTCCAAAGATTTCGCGACACTCTGGACTGATCGGACGAATTTGGCAGCAGCAACGTCACGTCGCATTTGAGTTCTAATCGTGTCGAGCTGCGAAAAGATAGCCAAAAACGAGTCGGATTGCAACCGTTGCTCAGTTCGGACTGAAATTCAGCTTGTTCTTCCCTTTCCCGGACTGCGCTAACTGCGGCTCGATAGTTCGAGTTCGCAACTTCTGCTGCGTCGATCGTTTCCGAGTTCTCAGGTTCGGGGCCTTCATCTTCGTCGTCTGACGAAACGAGTTGAACCTTTCGGGGTCCATTCCCGTGGTTTTCTTGGCGGTTTGAAGGTCCTTGCTGGAATTGAGCCGTGAAAGGGTTAACATTTTGGGCTTGTCCGAGCATAGACACGCCGTTGATTACGGCTTGCATCACAGGGGGCACTTGGTTCGATGGGTTCGGGATGCTTGGAGCCACAGCTCCAACCATGTTCTGATCAGGATTGTTATTAGTCTCCTGGTTCGAGTCGTTGTTAAGAAATTCGTCATCCGAATCCATCGTTACGAGCTGGTCCCTTCTAAACCTTTCCAAATTTTAATCGAGGTTAATTAATTTTGTTAATTTTCGGAGCTTGCGAACTATCATTTTAACTTTGAAATTTATGTAAAATAATTTCGGAATGATTTAAACTTTCTCGGTTAAATTAATCCTTTTAGCCTGGACCACGACGCTGCCAACTTCAAGCTCGACGAGTGGAAAGCTACCGTCCGTGCTGCTCTGGCGCACGTCGAAGAAGATCCTCGCATCACCCAGCTTGTTAGGCGCAACTGTCTTGAGTACAACGCCAGTTACGACAAGTTCGGCAACTTGGAAGCGACTTTGGAGAACACCCTCCTCGACCGCGAGTTGCTAGTTAAGTCCAAGGTTGTCCGCAACGACGAAATTGGCTACGATGCCTTTACGCCCAACTGGGACGGCTCCTTTTGGATTCGCTACTACTATTCGGTAAGTTTTTATTCTTTTGGTTTGGTTTTACCTGTCTTAAATATTTCAGACCCATCACGGTGGAATCGATGGTCCGCGCGAATTCGGCTGGCGCAACGATCACGAAGGTCGACTCGAGTGTGAGTATCCGCTTTACGATACCGACTACTCGTTGGCTGCTCTTTGGAACGATCTTGAAGGGCAAATCCGGGGTTTCCGCCGCTTCCCAGACGACGAAGGAGATCATCCTGACGAAGAGTACTATGTGGCCAACTCTCGCCATGCTGGGGTCGTCACCCAGTTCGTCAAGATCTTGTTCGCCCACAGGGTCCCGCTCGCCAGAATTGTTGAGTGGCTTGACAACGTCCCAGGTCATCAGTGCGTCGGCGACCTTCACGACGAGTACGGCTTTCTGGACTGTCACTTTGTCTCCGATCCGTTCCTGCTCGCCGTGATCATTTCTTATAAATGGTTCCAGGTTAGTTTGGCTTTTAAAACGCAAAATTGTTCATTAATAGAAATCAGAAAGAAAAACAATTTCGGGCACAATTTGAGCTTAAATCCAAATAAACGGTTCCAAATTTAATTTTATATTTCTAGCATCAGCGATCGATTGACGGCACTGGAGAAAACATGGTCGACGGTCCCGCCGTAGCTACTGGTTCCCCAGATGGCGTGAATCGCCGTTCCAAGCGAACTCGATTCCTGTTGTGGAAGCTGGTGCGTTCCGTCGGACTTGAGGGCGAATTCGAAGATAGTCCGGAATATCCAGGCCATCCCGAGCCAAATCGGCGGCGTCGCGATCTTGGACGTAAGTTATTCTGTCTACTTTAATTGATTTAAAGCTATAATTTCTTTTTTAATCACGAGAAAAGAATAACCGAAAATTAAATCATCAATCGGCTTTTAATTTAATAAGTTTTACCTGCTTCGCCGCTTTCTTTGAGGCGAACCAAAGCAGCTAGCTCTCGTCTTTCGGCCTTTTCGATCTGATCCCAGATGCTGCTGATCCATTTTGCCAGTCGTTTAATGTCGTCAGGCTCGGGCGTTTCGATTCGGACCCACAGAGTTCGGGGCTGATCGAAGCGATCGGAAATTCGCCCGGCGTTTTAATGTTCATTAGCGGCCCCGTGAGCGAGCAGATTTCTTGGCACACCGTTAGATCTTCTTGGGTTCGGACGTATCCGCCGGTATCCACGTTTTCGAGCTTGGGCCAGTAGAATTCTGCTAGCTCAAAAACAACATCTCAGCCGAGTCAGAAAAGCCTTCTAACGGGAACGTGGCTGGCTTCTTGAAAATCGGGCTCTTCAAGTTTTCCACTTTGGCAGCCCTGATCAGGTCGAACTCGCCGGCGATCTCGAGCATAGTCCAGAAACTTTCTTCGCTTTCCAACGTGGACCACACCATCATGTCCACTTCTAAATCGTTGTCGCGGGCTGGCGTTTTCTCCGGTGACTTTCTCATACTAAATTTGAATTTTAGTTTTCTTCCGGCCCAAAGACAACGTTGGTGAATTGGCCTTCGCGACTTTGGTTTCCCGTGCGCTCAGCCTAGCCACTTCGCGCTACAAGATGATGATGGGCAATCCTTTGGAATTTGCGTTTTTCAAC